GTGGGTATAATTTTTTTTTTTAAGAAGGGAAAATAACAAGTGTTGGCGAGGATGTGGAAAAATTGGAACCCTAGTACTTTGCTTGTGGGAAAGAAAATGGTTTAGGCACTGTGGAAAACAGCTTGGCAGTTGCTCAAAAAGTTCTAGAATTACCATATGACTTAGTAGTTCCACTCCTTGGTATAACCCAGAAGAATTGACATAAATATTCAAACAAATACTTGAATATGAATGTTCAGTAGCCCCACTATTCACAGTAGCCAAAAGCGAAACAATCCAAATGTCCATTGACAGATGAATGGATAAACAAATTGTGGTATATTTACAGTGGAATATTATTCATCCATAAAAGAGGAATAAAGTAGGATATATCCAGAACAAGGATGAACCTCGAAAACCTTATGCTGAGTGAAATAAGGCAGAAGTAACAGGTCACGTTGTATGATTGCATTGTAGGAAATATCCAGATTAGGGGAATCCATAGAGATAGAAAACAGGTAGGTGTTGCCAGGGGCCAGTGAGGGGAGAATAGCGAAGTGACTGCTTAGTGGGCACAGGGCTTCTTTTTGGGGTGATGAAAACTAAGAAGTGGTGGTTGCACAACTTTGTGGCCCCTGAATTGTTCACTTAACCATAGTTAATTTTATGAGAAATTTAACCTCACGAAAAAATTATGTATATATAATTCATCTGAGCACCTTGGTTTCCATTAGTTTCAATATTTAATGGCTCAGATACACTTTGAGGAGGCAGTTAAATCAGTGGTTTACAGAATCAATCACTGAAGCACTTCCACAAAGTCCCTGGGTTCCACAAAACCCAGTTTGAGAAACACTAAACCCTTTTGTCTGTTTGACGGTCTTTGAATTTTTCCTGTATTTGTTCTGAGGAAAGATTTCTTCACCTTCTAGTTTATTCTCACTAGCTGACGTTTATCCTTAAGCCTTGTCAACCACATGTTAGCAGAATAAAAATTTTATGTAGTTAGGTAGTTGTTGAAGAATAGGTTTGACATTTCTGGCTTCAGTGTTAATAAATCTGTCCTACGGAGGTAAATGGTTGCTTCTTGAAGAGAACTATAGTGGTAAAGAACAGTGATAACAAATTTGCCATAGTCCATTTTGGATTTGCCTATGTTGTTTTTCTGTTCTGTTTTTTTTTATTTTTGGTGCTAAAACCAAACAGGATTGGAGCCAGAATTTGAATTCACTAAGTATTTAGTTCTAGTGATGACTAAACATAGGGAAGTTTTAAAAACAATCTTTAAAAGGCATTTGCAGTCGTTCTTTATGAACCTGGTCATTTTAGTTGCCAAGGTTCTATTTCATGTATAAGGTATATGGTGTTCGGTGGTTCGTTTTTCAATATATTACAGTGGTGATCGTTGTGCTGAAATATTCTGAAATAGCTAATTATAATTACTTTCAGGTACTGAATATGAAAGGAAATACATAATCATCTCATTTGTTAGGTGATGAGAACAACTGTGCTGTGTATTTTTTCTTTTTTTGACAAGATTTAATGGCAGTGATGATACTTCTGTTTCTTCAAGCTGGTTCACAGAAATATAATTATAGCCGATTACGGTTAGTTAAAGGAAAATATTGTAGACAAACATAAGGACTGTATCTTTTCTTTTTTAAAAAATAGGAGCAGATGTCTCAAGTGTTAGATGCCATGTTTGAAAAACTGGTCAAAGAAGGGGAGCATGTAATTGATCAAGGCGATGATGGTGACAACTTCTACGTGATCGATAGGTAAGTTTTGCGTAACCTCACTGCTGAAATGTAATGACCCTTCCATATAAATTCTCAGCGGTTCTTATAACGACTGGCAAATTAATACTTGATAGTTGCTGTTACCTCTTTATTCTTTTTACTCCATAATACGCCCTGGAAGCCTGCTGTGAATACGTGTGGTGAAACCACATTAGATCATGAAAAGAGGCCTAGTTTATAGAAGAACGGATGATTTTGCTTAGTTAAATCTATAAATCTCAGTCATTTACTGTGTGCTGCCTTTGGCTTGAGAAGACGCCTGTTACACTTAGGAGGGAGGCAGAGCGCAGCATCTGGGGTGTTGAATCATATAACTCAATCTGTTCTTTTTTTATTAACGATAAAGTAAAACATGCACATGGTAGAGAGGGTAGTTTATGTTCTTTCCAGAAGTTGTTTATGCATTCTTGTGCATTAAAAACATAGAGAAGTTATTTTAAAACACCGTAGAGAGATTATTTTATTTAAATGAGAAGGTGGGCATTCATATTGAAAATGCAATTTCAGAAAACATCTTTACTTTGTCATAGAAGAGCGTGCTTTTTAAAAAAATTTTTCATTATGTTAATCACCATACATTTCATCATTAGTTTTTGATGTAGTGTTCCATGGCTCATTGTTTGCATATAACACCCAGTGCTCCATGCAGAACGTGCCCTCTTTAACACCCATCACCAGGCTGACCCATCCTCCCACCCCCTCCCCTCTAGAACCCTCAGTTTGTTTCTCAGAGTCCATCGAAAGAAGAGCGTGCTTGAAGCAATACTTAGGTAAGAGCCCTGACTGTACTGGGGGAGCAGTCTGAATGGAGGCTATATTTCCTCACTTTGGTAAAGTGATGCTGAAGTGCCCCTCCCGTTTGGGGGGCCACACAGGTCATCTCCTAGCCTGGCCAGATTCATTGGGTTGCATTTGCTTCTCTGGGTAGAGTTGTGCTCAGCTCAGAGCCTTGTGGAAAATCACACCCCATCTGTCTGCACAGCCTCATTTCTTGATGTGGCTCTGTGGTTGGCATCTGTCCCGTATCAGCAGTCATGCATGCTCTCCGCGTGGAGGACTCTCACTGACTCCCCCGTTTCCTCGTCTTAATGCTGTGCTGACCTGTAGAGCTGTCGCTGAGGGCTGGGCTGAGCTCTCTGATTTTAGAACAGACCCACTTATTCCACGTATAAATTAAAGTCTTGATTTTCATATCCTTAACAGCTTTCATCAGGGAAACACCTCAGAAATGCACTCAGCTGTTACACTGTATTTAACTGTAGGGTATATGGCAAACTGAAATATGGTTAAAAACTCCATTACGTTTCCCGGTTCGCTTAGATCCTAATCACCCCCTTGACAGATGAAAACTCCCAGGCACACGGAAGTGACAGGAGTCAGCGAAGGTCAGCCAGCCTGGCATCCGGGTCTCCTGGCCACTGTTCGTGGTCTTTCCGTGGCTCCACTCTGCCCCACGCTTCACATTATCGGGAAGAAATGTGTATGAGAAGGGGTACAGGCTTCAGACCACGTGCTGGCAGCTGGACTGGAGGCTTATTTTACTTCTCATCAGCACATTTGTCGTACTTTATTCTGTTCCAAGTAGAAAATGTATAAAATGGTTTTGGTGCTAAAGTGTAAATAGTGTTAATAGAAGAATTAGTCTGAACTTGAAAAACAGTCATGAAACCCATTCTAGAAGGTATCCTTGAAAAATCCTTCTATCCATGAACGTCAAGCCAGTTATTCTCTTATTCGTTAACGTATCTTGTGTTTTTTGCTTTTGTTTTATCTTTACCATTCATAATCCTTTTCCTAATCTTAGATTTTTTTTTTTTTTTTTTTGAGAGAGAGAGAGAATGAGAGACAGAGAGCATGAGAGGGAGGAGGGTCAGAGGGAGAAGCAGACTCCCCGCCGAGCAGGGAGCCCGATGCGGGGCTCGATCCCGGGACTCCAGGATCATGACCTGAGCCGAAGGCAGTCGCTTAACCAACTGAGCCACCCAGGCGCCCTCCTTTTCCTAATCTTAAAAGCTCTCCCTTTTTTGTCTTTGTTAGGGGTTTAGCCAAGAGAATAAAGCCAAAGAATTTCTGCTGTCTGTGCTCCCAGGTGTTTCAGCAAGACCTGAAGCCATGTTCTCTGATAAAACACAGTGTATGGGGAGACTGTCGTCCACAGGAAGAATGTAGTTCTGTAGATACGGGGTCTGTGAAATGCGTAGGACAGCGCCAGGCAGACGGTGGGCTGCTTGCTTAGAACATGAACCCAAATAAAAGATAAGCACAAAATAAAAAGACCTTCAAAAAGACCAGGACCAGATATTCAGTCTGAATTTCTACATTTTGCTCTAGGTTGGGGGTTGGTCTGCAGTAAAGCCCCGGATGATGTGAAGAGCAAACTCTTTAGGCTGTGAGGCCATGTGGTCTCAGCTGCTCAGCTCTGCTGCTGTGGTTCGTACACATGAGCCATCAAGAAGGCGCAGGCGAACCCGTGTGTTTGTGTGGTAAAACTTTATTCATGAAAGCAGGCAGCCAGTCCGGGGGCCTTGCTCTGCCGGCCCTTCCTTAGATGATACAAGAGCCTTGTAAGTGCTGTATAGTAGGGCTGACCAAGTTGTTAGAGCTCTGTTCTTTTAAAAAAAAGTTATTTTCTTCTGATTTCAAGAGTAATACGTGTTCTCTTTAGACACAAAAACTCCTAAAACATCCTTCACTGTTCTTACATTCAGAGATGATTGCAGTCAGCTTCTTCAGAAGGATGTCCGTGCATATTCTGTTTGGTTGGAGTCTCATTTTATCACTTGCTTTATTATTATAAACTTTGATCGTTCGGTCTCATTTCCCCCCGGCAGGCACATGTCTGGTCCTTACCGCAGTCTAGCTGATGTCCTCTTCCTGCTTGTCTGGCACGGATGTTTTCTCTGGCACATATCGATGTCCTTTTATCACCTGTCATCAGAGGAGAACGGGAAGCTGGAAAGGAGATTTCGTCGCACACAGCTCTTCTCTGAAATGATGTACTCTTGTCATGAGATTTGACTTGGGTTACTTTTACCTCTTCCTTTCCATCTGTCCAACAGAGGAACATTCGATATCTATGTGAAATGCGATGGTGTCGGAAGGTGTGTGGGGAATTACGATAACCGCGGGAGTTTCGGTGAACTGGCCTTAATGTACAATACGCCCCGAGCAGCTACCATCACTGCTACCTCTCCTGGTGCTCTGTGGGGTTTGGTGAGTGAGAGATCTATTTCACCCGAGTGTTACTTAGGAAAACTGTTATGACGGAAGCCAGGCAGGTGGAGTCTTTTGGTTCTAGTAGGTGGATTTCTTTGCGATCCTCCTCGGTCATTGGGGTATTTATTAAGCAGCTACTGGATGCTGCACTTCTGGGTGCTGGGTTAAATCTTCATGTTCTTTCCCAGGGAAGTCAGGAGCTTAACCTCCTGGTCCTGGGAAAGACACTCAGATCTGAAATACTCCTCTTTTACCCACCCTTAAAAACCAGCCACCCAGACAATTGAACAAGGCCTCCAGCGCGGTTTTCTTAGGTAGCTTTCTGGGGTATGACATGATCTGTGCTTCCCCAGGTGTGGTCCCCTGACCAGGAGCACCTGTATCACCTGGGCACTTTGCAGGAAATGCAGATTCTGGCCCCACCCCCTTACTGATTTGGGCCCACCGAATCAGAAGCTCTGGAGATGGGGCGCAGCGATCTGTGCTTGAGCAAACCCACCACGTGACTCGGATGCATGCTAGAGTTTGAGAAGCCTCCATGAACAGGTTCTCTTGGTGTGCTTTAAAGTGATAACAGCTTTGCCTCGAAAAGCAGCTGGGTAGCATTAAAATACTTGATGCCTCTCTTTCTCACCTGGATGCACATCAGAATTACTTGAAGGTGGGGGAGGGGGTGGAAATGTTAAAAAAAATTCCTCTTGCTGAAGCTCCACCACAGACCAATTTAATCAGACCCTGCTGGGGTGGGACCTGGGCTTTTAAAATTGTTAATGGTGATATTTCTACAAGACTTAAAAGTTGGTTTGAAGACATTTGGATGAGGTGGGAAGGGAGATTCTTTTCATACGTGGTATCAGGATGCCGAGTAGCTGATTCTAGAAGGCGGTCTCCGATGTGCTTATGGATCACCTGGGAATATAGTTAAAACGCAGATCCTGATTCACTGGATCTGGAATGAGGCTTATGATTTGCATTTCTCATAAGCTCCCAGGAGACCCCATTGCTGTTCTGCCCAGAGCACACTTTAAGCAGTGCTGAGTTTAGGACGTTTGCAATGCTTGTATTTTCTTTTTAAATTGTTGAAAACGGCCCACTCTCTAGTTGCAACATGTATTTATTAGATTAGTTCTCTCAAAAATCCTTTTGTGGAAGGAGAAGAGGTTGAGAGAATAGGACGACTATTTGCAGTCTGGGTCCCAAGGACCGTATGTAGCTTTACACAAGTAACCCGTTACTCCCTGTCGACTCAGCCATTTAACTCTGAAGTCGGTTCAGCTGATAAAAATCTCTTGCTCAGAGAAACCATACATACCATACATTTCTTCTTATTAGAATCAGGCGGTTACTGTTGCCGTGGTAAAAATGTGATGAGTCACATTTTAAGTTGTACAAGAAAATTTGGAATTGTTTCACACGAGAAGAAACCCGTCGTGGTCTGGCGTGTTTTAAGGACTGTTGAAGATTCGAATACCCAAAGCCAGCAAAGTAAGAAACCCCAAACCAGACCGGGCTAGGTCCATAGGACCTGTTTGTCAGTTATCGGAGTGGTTGGCTCCATCTAGAGTCCGCCGTGACCTGTTCCATTAAGGAAGGCATTCGCTGAAAAGTTCCGTCATTCGGATGAGGTTGCCAGCCAGGGTCAGAGGGGTGCGCAGTCTGGAAGCTGCCTCCCACACATCCTTGGAACAAGGTCACATGTGTAGCAGGTTGGCCCCTCTGAGTACTCATAATTTGCAGCCCTGGCAGAAACCTTAAACTGGGTACCAAGGCCCAGCATTTCCCAGTGTGCGTGGTACTTAAGCCATCAAGGATTGAGCATTTTCAGAGATTTTTACTTATCTATGCATGTTATTCAGGTGGGCAGTTTGTGATGATCACCTTGGGGTATGTGCCTAAGTGCAGGAACTTTTTAAAAATTAGAATTAACCTATCACTTAATCCTTCAAATATGTTTTTTAAGAGCCACTTACTGAACTATCCCCTTTCCAGGGAAAGTCAAGTAGAAAAGATGTTTTTCTTTTAAGGCCAGCACATTGGAGCTCTGTCATATAAATGCAGGTAGAAAGATAAGCAGATCCCAAGAGAAAAGTCCTTTGTTAGACTAGTCTAACTTTGTAAATAGTACTCGGTCACTGTCAGCCTTAAGGGTTAACTGATGAGCGTGAACCTGCCGATGATTCAGAAAGGCAATTATTGAAATGACAAGGATGAAAACATTTGAAATGGGACTTTGTGGATTTTAATTATATGTCACAGTGGGTGTGAAGAGGTGGGCCACTAACACAATTTTTCCCAAGACAAATACCTCATTGTGGTTAATTTTTAATCACTAAACTATTTCTCGTCTTCTCTGTCTTGCAATAAACTCTGTCCATAAAATGGTGTTGAAGCTGGTTCCCAAACCTGATTATATATCAGAATCACTTGGAGAGCTTTTATGACCTATAGGTTAGTGAGCCCTACACGCAGACATTGTTCGAGTCATTGAAGTCTGGGGTCTGAGAACCGTTTTTTTAATACTATAGCTGATTCTGATGCAGACCCAAGCTTGGAAATTATTTCAATAATTTTACTAATTATCTTGCACATTTTTCTCTTTTAAAAAAGTTATTAGGATTACAACTCCAAATTACAACCCTTGTCAAATTGTAATAAACTAAATTGGGGAACGGGATGTTTGCTTTCCTAGAGACTTACATCCATGCTGGCATTTTCCTCCATCCCACCAGTTCAGCTAAATTCAGCCTCACTGCGTCGGACAGTAATTTAATAATTAATGAACATAACACAGTTTTATTGGATATTAAAGTGGTGTAATTGTTGATCAGTATATGACAAACCAACATAATTCTGGGAGATCTTAACTAAGCACCATTATAAATAATGTCTTACAGGGATTTTTTCAAAATAAAGTTTGTAGGAAAACCATTTTTTGAGCTGTTTGTTATCTTTAAAATTTTCCCTAGTTTCCTAATTGAGTTCTGTATCTTTGAGGTTAAGTAGTATAAACAGAGGAATGTTGGAGAACCCTGAGAATGATAAACACTGGCATTTGACTCTTGATATTCAACAAAGTTGTAGTTCCTCTATGCACATTTTTTAAAAAAGAAAAACTCTGACATAATGTGGATGTGACAACCTAGCATACATAATTTTTTCAAGAGCTTATCATAATTGCTTTATGATTAAAAAATTCAACAGTGTTTTTCATGCATTTTTTTTCCTGCAACCCACATTTAGATTTCCATTCGGAAATATCACAACCAGTATTTTTTTTTTTTAAGATTTTATTTATTTATTTGACAGAGAATGAGAGAGAGCACATGAGAGTGGGGAGGGTCAGAGGGAGAAGCAGACTCCACGCCGAGCAGGGAGCCCGATGCGGGACTCGATCCAGGGACTCCAGGATCATGACCTGAGCTGAAGGCAGTTGCTTAACCAACTGAGCCACCCAGGCGCCCCTCACAACCAGTATATTTACCAGTATATTACTATATTTATTTATGTATGTGTCCTTGTGTATAACTGAAATAAATAACTAAACAACACTTTACTAAAAGGTGTGCATGCTGAGATTTTCCATTCTTTATTTTTTACAAAAATGCTGGTCATGGGTGAAGAGGGTCAAAAGGTACCAACTTCCAGTTATAAAATAAATAAGACCTGTGATGTCCTGTCCACCCCGGCCACTGTAGTTCATGCTATATTTGAAAGTTGCTAAGAGTGTAGATCTTAAAAGTTCTCACTAGAAAAAAAGAATTTGTAACTATGTATGGTGATGAGTGTGAACCAGACTTACTGTGGTGATCATTTCTCAATATATATATGAATGCCAGATCATTATATTGTATACCTGAAACTAATATAATGTTATAGGTCCATTATAACTCCGTTTAAAAAAATGCTGGTCATGTTCCACTGACTTGATTTTGGATATCCTGGGGCTGTCATCCACAGTAAAAGAACTGTGTTAGCCCGAACTCAGAGACACGGAGTGCAGTGCTGGCTTCCAGGGGCTGAGGGGGGGAGAGATGGGGAGATGGTGGTCAGAGGGTGGAAACTTCCACTTACAAGGTGAATGAGTTCTGGGGATTGAATGAACAGCATGGTAATTATCGTAAACGTTGTATTGTACACTTGAAAGTTGCAAAGGGAGTCTCAAATGTTCTCATTACAAAAAAGAAAGGGTAATTATGTGAGGTGATACCAGTATTAACTAACCCTTTTGTGGTAATCATTTCGCAATATATATGTATCAAAGCAACACGTTGTATACCTTAAACTTTTACACAATGTTATAGATCAGTTAAATGTCAATAAAACGAGGAAAACAGACAGGGCTAGTGCTCTTTTTTTAATGGTGCAATAGCGCCACCTTGTGGGTTTATCCCAATTATGTGTTGGCCAGTTCTGAATAAAAGGAAATCGTTTCCTTTTTTAAAAAAAAATGAAAGTAATATTTTATGTGGGTCTATATTTTATGCCTGAAGAAATTTTTAAAAAATCTGAAAAAAGTATAAATATTAACCTTTTATTTCAAAATCTTCAGTTACTGTTTGTTTCTTATTGGGACTAAAATGAAACTATCTCTTCAAACTTTTTTTCCTAATAAAATCTCTTAACTGTCTTTGTATCTGCTATTCTGCCTTTAGGACAGGGTAACCTTCAGGAGAATAATTGTGAAAAATAATGCCAAAAAGAGAAAAATGTATGAAAGCTTTATTGAGTCACTGCCATTCCTTAAATCGTTGGAAGTAAGTATATGTTTATGCTTTTGTTTTACTTTGCTTTAAAAATTGTTCTGTTTGGAACATTTAGTTCTGTAGGAAAGTTTCTTTGAATATTTTTATTTGTAAAGATTACGTGATGGTGTTTGTATAACATGGTATTTCTTTCACTACCTGTAGCTGCAGATGTTCTGTTTTGCTTTGTTTTACAAGTAATGGACTCCTGTGAGTGTCTAGAACAGATTTATATGTGGTCTTTATCTAAAAGCAGACTTCATAGGTATTTACCCAAAGAATACAAAAGTACTAATTCAAAGGGATACACACATCCCAATGTTTATATAGCAGCATTATCTACCACAACCAAATTATGGGAACAGCCCACATGTCCGTCAACTGATGAATGGATGAAGAAGAGGTGTGTGTACACACACACAGAGGAATATTACTCAACTATAAGAAAGAATGAAATCTTGCCGTTTACGACATAGACGGAGCCGGAGAGTATAATGCTAAGGGAGAAATAAGTCAGTCAAAGAATGACAAGTACCCTATGATTTCACTCATGTGTAATTGAAGAAACAAAACAGATGAGTAGAGGGAAAGTAAAGAGAGACGAACCAAGAAACAGACTCAACTCTAGAGAACACACTGATCGTCACCAGCGGGGAGGGGTTGGGGGGATGGGGAAATAGGGGATGAGGATTAAGGAGGGCAGGGGGACTTGGTGTGATGAGCACCGGGTGTTGTATGGAGGTAACGAATCCCTGTATCGTCTGCCTGAAAACTAATATAATACTGTATGTTAACTGACTGGGATTTAAGTAAAAACTTAAAAGATGTAAAAGTAGACTGAAGTAATGATAGAAATGTGGGCAGTAACTAGTTACACCTTTACAGGGAGAGCTTGTCGAAACACGGTGTGTCTTTTCCTTCCCAGTCAACCTTGCTGTTTACCCCTCTTCTCCTTTCCTCTTCAGACTGGCATTCCGGGGTCTCTTCTGTTTTCAGGCTATGCTTTCTCACTTGGTGAACTTGTCAAATGCCCTGGCTTTAAACACTGCTTATACACTGATGCCTCCTAAAACGGCCATCGCCAGGCCAGGTCCCTCTGTCGAATAGCAGACGCATTTATCCAACCGCATGGTTGACATTTGCGCTCATGGGGCTAATTGACATCTCAAACCTAGCGCGTCCCAGCTCTCCTCCACCCCTGCCTTCCCCACCTCCCTGCATCTGGGCCACAAGCCTCAGGATTAGTACTGATTCATCTCCTGAAATTTCTCTGTTGGGTTGTCGGTACACGCCTGGTGGAGGTTTTGGCCACGTTACAGAATGCATATGAGACAGCTGATCGTGTCTCGCGGCATCTCTTTTAACATGAAAGATCAGGGGTTGGAAATACATATGCCTTCAGAGTTAGGCAGGTGTAATGTAAGGGAGCAGAGGAAGCCAGGGTGGGGTGTCACCTAGACTTGGCGCCAGAGCAGTCGCCAAACCCCAGCCCGTTGTTGCTATGTGCCATCATGTGGGCTGGGGGTTGCTGAGGCTCCTGATTGTTCAAGAGAAGCTGAGAATTCAGGTTCTCCTGAGGGAAATCTATTTTAAAATGCTGGCACTTAATTAATACACACACAAACCCGCATGCTCTACTTATTTGGCCTCTGGGCTACCAATTTTTAACTTCTGAAATAGAAGTTTAGTCTGTTTAATTTAGTCTGTTTAATCATATCTTTTTTTCACTGAAGGTTTCTGAACGCCTGAAAGTGGTAGATGTGATAGGCACCAAAGTATACAACGATGGAGAACAAATCATTGCTCAGGTATAGTGCTTTTTAGGTAATTCAGCTTAGGGTTATATTCCAAAAGTTTCTTCCACGAGGCCGATCTTGATAAATTTTTCATTTGTGTCTGTAATTAGCATGTAGTGGTGGATTAAATGAATATTACTTCCACCAAATGACCTCTTAAAAGTGGTTTGATTTACAGCCATTAAGCTATTTCAATATTTTTATTTATATAATTAACTCCTGATGAATATGTATTAAATCATCAGATGGATTTCTGGATAATTTTCTACTTGTACATGACATGAAATTTAAATGTATCTACAATAAGATGTCATTGACAATCAGAAAAAACAGGCGAGCGCATTCCTTGAGATAACGTGGACCCAGAAGTTGCGCCGGGAGTTCTGCAGAGTTTTGCATGATCAGTTCAGGAGGAAGCCTCCTGGGGCTGCTCCCTGATAAAATTAATCAGGAAGGGAACACACTGTACCGTGTACTGTATCAGCTTCCAGGCACGAAATGGGGGCCAACGTGCTGTTTTCACCCCTAATACTTCTCTGAGATCCCAGTTGCAATGGGTAGGAATACACACCTTGGTTATGACAGAGCTGCCAAGAAGTAGGATTTATGAAGACAGTCAGCGTTCACAGATAAAGCAGACGGATGATAGGGCCCATATTTCTCAGTTACAGTTCTAAGCCCTGGGCGAATGATTTAAACAGATTTTAAGGTTCTCTGATTTTTATATCACAACATTTATGCTGTATTATAATTTTAATCTAAAAGTATTATCTTTTGATACATGTGGAATAAGATGCAAGGTCTGTGAGCCTGAGGCAAGAATAATTGTGTTAGAAGGCAAACACACAAGTAAATCACAAGTCTCTCTCTCCTGTACACACATGTGCACACAGATTATAGTCAGGGGTTGGAAGGAAGTGGAGTCGAATTAGAGAACAAGGCTGAGGTTCTACTGTGGAAGTTGAAAAATAACCAGCCACAGAGCACTTTCAACATGATTCTTTCTAGCCTTTTATTCTGAAATAATTGCAGATGCCTGGTAAGTCGCAGTGGTCATGCAGTGGTCCCACGCCCTTGCCCCACTTCCTCCCGGTACCTGCTGGTGTTGCTGCAGGACACACCATCACACCTACCATCCGACATGGCCCAACCGACAGACCGAGTGTTGTCACTTCTACATGCACTTAGAGCACGCTTTGAAAACAGAATTATCAGGCGCCTGGCTCACTTGGTGGGTAGAAGTGACGCTTGATCTCGGGGTTATGAGTTCGAGCCCCACAGTGGCGTAGAGATTATTTAAAAGTAAAATCTGAAAAAACAATTGCACAGCAGTCAACAGATGTATTATGATTTTAAACACTTGAAAATTTGACAGGAAGCTTTTAGATACAAAATAAGAGAAAGGAGATTATGTATATGTATTAATCTTAGGGCTTATTGAAAGTATTTTTAGGTATCGTCTTTTAAGCATTTATAAATATCTGTGTTACATAAATCTAGACTCCACATTTTGGTGTGATGTATTCTGATACTGTGTTTCTTGGATTGTATGTACTAAAGAGTTTTGAAATTCCCAAGTTTCTCTAGAATCACTTTGAGAGGCTCAGAAAAGTCAGTATTTGCTGTCATGCGTACTGCACCATTTAATTCAGGAGGCGTCATTGGAAATCAAGGCAGAGTTCACCCAAGAAGGGAAATCAGGGATGTAGTTAGAAATGGCAACACTTTCAGGAGCCTTTTTGAGGCCCCGAGGTGGAGTGGAGCATCAGTACAGATGTCAGGGTCAGGGCCCCCATGAACTGCCTCCTGATAAGTCTGGTGGTTTTCTCCTCCTTGAGAGTTTCTCCTCTTCGGGCCACCATGCCGATGGTTATCAGAGGATGACACAGGGTGTGCATCTGAGCACTTCTCGGGGAGCACGGGATTGGCTGGTGGAGCAGGAGGTGCTGGGACACAGCCCTGCCATCTCTGACTGTGGACATTGTCATCCAGGCTGGAGCTGGGGCCAAATTCTCACCTCTGTATTTGCCGTATCTCCTTGGCTAGTTTAGCAAGAAGTGCCACGGGAGAGAGTTTATTATTTCAGATAATTTTACAAATGAGCTCCTTATTCAAGAATTGTTGATCACGGTCTCTCAGTGTAGACGGTGAGATAGTTTGTTCCTCTGGGCCCTGGCTTTTCGGGCAGATCATCTGTACAACGGAGCTGGGTTGATCTCAGGGCCACGAGAGGCAAAAAGGATTGCTGTCAAAGAAATCTGCATTTCCCCCCACTGTTTTTGTTTCCTTCTTACAGGGAGATTTGGCGGATTCTTTTTTCATCGTAGAATCGGGTGAAGTGAAAATCACTATGAAAAGGAAGGTGAGTGTTGGCAAGTCTAAAAATTCATGTTAGCCATAGAGCAACAGGCTTTCTGATGCTCACCCTCAGGTTAACAGAGTCTTCTTGAGCTGAGTCAAGGCTCACACTCTTCCTTACCTTGTCAGGGTAAATCAGAAGTGGAAGAGAATGGCGCCGTGGAAATCGCTCGGTGTTCTCGGGGACAGTACTTTGGAGAGCTGGCTCTGGTCACTAACAAACCTCGGGCAGCTTCCGCGCACGCCATCGGGACCGTCAAATGTTTAGGTAGGAGTCACAGTGGTGGACATGTCTCTCCTGTTTGCAGTTGGGATGCCTGCATTCCATGTGTTCATGGGGCTGTACTGATGATTGCACTGGGTCCCCAAGTTTTATGGTCCCCACAAAGGAGAACAAGGTCAAGATTCATGGCATTATAGAATCCGTTTGTGGGAGCCCGTTTTTTCCCCCATACCTATTTTGTTCTTCCATATGGGCGTGAGAGAACGTCTTGTTTTAG